ATAACACGCTATAAGTTATACTTCTATAACACACTGTAAGTTATACTCCTGTAACACACTGTAAGTTATACTCCTGTAACACACTGTAAGTTATACTCCTGTAACTTATACTCCTGTAACACACTGTAAGTTATACTCCTGTACCACACAGTAAGTTATACTCCTATAACACACTGTAAGTTATACTCCTATAACACACTGTAAGTTATACTCCAGTACCACACTGTAAGTTATACTCCTATAACACACTGTAAGTTATACTCCTGTAACACACTGTATTATACCCCTACACCTGTAACACACTGTAAGTTATCCTACTCACTGTATACACACACTGTAAGTTATACTCCTGTAAGTTATACTCCTGTAACACACTGTAAGTTATACTCCTGTAAGTACTCCTGTAACACACTGTAAGTTATACTCATAACACACTAAGTTATACTCCTATAACACACTGTAAGTTATATTCACACTGTAAGTTATACTCCAGTACAACACTGTAAGTTATACTCCTGTACCACAGTATTATACCCCTACTCCTGTACCACAGTATTATACCCCTACTCCTGTAACACAGTATTATACCCCTACTCCTGTACTACAGTATTATACCCCTACTCCTGTATCACAGTATTATACCCCTACTCCTGTAACACAGTATTATACCCCTACTCCTGTACTACAGTATTATACCCTTACTCCGGTATCACAGTATCATACCCCTACTCCTGTACCACAGTATTATACCCCTACTCCTGTAACACAGTATCCTACCCCTACTCCTTTATCACAGTATTATACCCCTACTCCTGTATCACAGTATTATACCCCACTCCTGTATCACTGTATTATACCCCTACTCCTGTAACACAGTATTATACCTTACTCCTGCAACACAGTATTATACCCCTACGCCTGTAAATTAGTAATTTACAAACCCGTTTTATTTTTTGGCTTAGTTTTAATGAGAGTGTGACGTCATCTGAATTTAATGTTTTCATTTCAATCTTGATAATGTAATGACATGCTTTATGCTTTTGTGATAAATATAAACTGCTATCGAAAGAAATTTGATCAATAATAACTGGTGTAGAAACATGATTTGCTCGATTGTAACGGACCTACAACAAAGTTTGATCAATATCAACAGTTATTCCTCGGTTTAGGGAATATCAATTTCATTCATAAAAAATATTCAAAGTAACTTATAGATTATAGTAAATCTCTAATTTCATAGTTTTTAAGTTAACGTTGGATTTTATTGTGTTATTTTAGAATCCGACTAAATGATCTAGCATTTGGAATATACTTAATTATGCAAATTTTAAATGATTTAAAATAACAAAAGCATATACATTTGTGGAATATTCACAACACCTCGATTTTTATTCAGGGGAAAATAGAATAAATTTCTATATATATGACATATATCGCAAATTATATTTTTTTTATTTTCATTTGCAGAAAACCTGAAGAAATCTATTAGACGAGATGAGATGTGGAATGTCTTGAAAGGATGGTGTGACATCAATAGGTAGGATCAATTTATCTTGTGAAAGTTTTATATCAGGGTGGTGTGATAGTTAGGCAATCTGGAATTTCTTTCCGAAGCGATTTGGTGCCGTAGAACGTGAGTTTAAGTCCCGCACAGGGCACGAGTAGAATACTGTCCTTCTTTGTGTTACAGTGTCCATCATATATAATATAGGGGTAAGAAGTGTTTTGTCATGCTTTTGGAATCTATTATCCAGTTCTATATGATTGACATATACATAATTCGAAGATAGACGCAAATGATTTTACAAGTGCTTGTTGTTTGTGAAGACATAAATAAGAATGAATCAAAGCTACTGCAGACTCGTTAGTAATACAAACACGTGATACTCGTGGTCAGTCGCCTTCACGTGGCACTAATTATTTGGAATCTTACATAGTATATCTAACATATATAATTGAATATTAATTAACAACACTTATGAATTAAGAGAGTTTGAAAAAGATACAAAATGTTTGTTTTATATGAATGAAGATATGAAAAAGGTCCCATTGATGATGCACATGACAATATACCCGCCCACACTTTGATCAGTTGTATTTTACTCGCCATTCTGACGCACAGTATACCAATTGGTGTTCTCGTTTTCTTTATGACAAAGTAGTCACTGCTCGACTTTTACCCTTAAAATGAAACAGTTAAAACTTCGATATTAAATGAAACCTTCAGTTTCAAAACGCTGTTTGTGTCATAAAGCAGGGGCGATTGCGGTAGTTGGTAAACTGTGCTTCAAGATGGCGAAACAACATATCATCAAATTGCAGGCGGAACAAAGATTCTTGTATCACATATACATATATATATATATATATATATATTTACATGGTTTTATGGGAAAAAAACATTTTGCGTTTCATCTTCATCGCTAAGGTTATCCTTGATGTCAAGCAGGAGATAATGTAAATAGATTAAATAACAGACTACTTATCAAGGCCGTCGTCATTAATCTTACTCTATATAGCAGTGACTTTCTCTCTTACAAGGTGAAATGAGTTTTGTGCTAGTCCCTCCAATTAGTATGCCCATCAATAAATTGTCAAAATGTTTCTTGGGACAGAGAAGTGTTGAAAACAGGCATGGCATGCATTAACAGGCATATCGTGCTATCATTATTAAAGTTATGGTCCAGATTTGGAAGGCTAAGGGGCTCTCTTACCGTTATGATTTCGAACTTAGTGTAAACAATGTGAATGCCTGTCAATAACAGAGCTCCATCTACCGCATGTCTACATTATTGGGTCATTCTTTTAATCATAGGGAGTGTTTCCTGCATTAGATGGTACTTCGTTAGCGAATCTAGAAATGTTTGAGCACGGTTTCAGTTGGAATGTATAACCATTACAAAATCCAAATAGACAAAATATTACGATTCGTTTCACTTTTTTGATATAAATGAATATTTGGGACTGATTCTGATAAAAAAACAAGTGAAAACAGTTCGATTCTTAATCGATATCACACCATTAACTCATGTCAGCCAAATGTTGCAAAATAAAAATCAAATGAAGACGTCAACGATTAAATCATTGCGTTCATGTGGTTATGGATGCTATCTGATTTTATCAGAGTGATAAAGTAGCATTACAATACACGTATTTTAGGATTGAGAGTTTTCCTGATGATTAAGAAAGGGGAAATCCCTAGTGGAACTACACAAGAGGGAGGGGTCCCGAAAGCAGCAAATTAGACTCTGCAAGTGTTGTTACACTACAGCGTCCGCGCAAACCTGTTCTACATGTTTGTCTAGAATATGCAGTCATGGGAGACCACTTCCATTAGGGAAATGGCGTTAATGACTCAGCAAAGGCACGACAGGCGATCACACAGAATTTTACCTTTGTAAGCCTTTGTCGGGTGGCTACAGAGGCTAGTAATTACACCATTGATTGGCTCTCGACAAAGTTGCTTGGAGACAGATATCTGCGTGTATGAAACGAATCATTGAACAAAATCAATAGATTCTATTTTTGTGTCAGATCGTTGGTACAGCCACGCACCACATGATCTCTGTATCGTCACGTTCGAATGGGATGACGTCATTAAAGTAGAAGAAATACTGTTTTAAACTAAAGATGAATTGATCACGGTTCATTGTCACGACAAATGTGTCTTGTTATAGAATATTTATAGTTGGATGATTTCATTGCAATCTTTTGCGTGTTCTCTGACCACTGGACCATGAATGGGAGTGGGGAAAATCTGACCACTGGGCTATATCGGGCTATATGGGAGTAGGGATAATCTGACCACTGGACCATGAATGGGAGTGGGGATAATCTGACCAACTGGACCATGCATGAGAGTGAGTATAATCCGACAACTGGACCATGCATGGGAGTGGTATAATCTGACCACTGGACCATGAATGGGAGTGGGGAAAATCTGACCACTGGGCTATAAATGGGAGTAGGGATAATCTGACCACTGGACCATGAATGGGAGTGGGGATAATCTGACCAACTGGACCATCCATGAGAGTGAGTATAATCCGACCACTGGACCATGCATGGGAGTTGGTATAATCTGACCACTGGACCATGAATGGGAGTGGGGATAATCAGTTAAAGGCGGGAAGTGTTTCGTCACTGATGAAACATCTGATCATGTTCTATACAACATCGTACCATAAAGGTACGTATTGTATACATATCTTAAAAGATATAAATGAGTTCAGACATTATATTGGCTGAAGCTTTGAGTTTATAGACCCTGTTCACACGTAGATCTATGTGATACTGGAATGTGACAGACACCCCGTGTCCCAGGCGGTATAGTGCCTGTCAACACCTCTTCAGTGCCTAGCGCGTAATTACACGTCTCCAAATAAAGTTATAGTCCTTGCCTCCCTTGGCTCATACAAGTCGCTACAGAATGCTGGATCTAACACAGAATAGGTCTGTTATTGTTTCTTTACGCGTTTTAATTGTATGGAGTTCTGCTATACATGTATACTGTTACTGCACAGATGTTATAAACACAGGTGCAATTTCCTCATTTTAGTTTGCCCATTTTCAATTGTTGTACAGTTCAGCATAAAAATGTTTTTCATTTTATTTAAAAATATGTGATTTTCAACATGACTTTTGAATACAAGTTATACAGCTCCTTTTTCCTTGTGGATAATTGCACTATAGGCCTTCATTTTTAGATTTTGTATAGCAATAAAACTCGTAAGACCGCTGATTCCATTGGACACTTTTGACGAATGTATCCAATCAAAATCTATTTTACAACGTGCGGTTGGGTGAGGTTTTGTTTTGAAATCGTCAAGGCGCTTGTGAAACAACGTATGTTCGCACGTCACACGATGGCATTGCCTCATGTTCATTATGCCACGAGAAACAATATAAAACTTCTTACATACCGTCATACTTCACTAGACAGAATCAATATGGTGTGAAATATTACAAACGCATGTCAAGCGCGACAAGGGTAGAGGTCAATGGTCAACATGGCCGACCTGTCTTCCGATGAAGGCAGACAGGTGCACAAGGACATCGGCTCAGGTGAAAAACGTAAGACTGGCGAGGTATTCACAGTTGACTTTGGCGATATGAAATCAAAAGAAGGAAAGAAGAACTTGCAAGAATCATTTATCAAATTTAAGAAGCAGCGGCAGGTACGTAGGCACATTTTCTCGCATACACGCATGTAAATACAGACGATCGATATCGAAATGAGAATATAGGATTTCATTGCTCCCGTAACACACACATTCTTAACACCAAATCTTAACACATGTGTACCGGCATGACAGTGCATATTTAACCATGGTAGTGAGACTAGGTACAAAGCTGCTGTTCCTTTCATTTGATAAATATTTCAAGTGTTTTTGCTTCAGCGTGCAACTACGTAAACTCTGCTGAATATTTCAATATTTCACTCTTTATCTGAAGGTAGTAACGTTTTACAGTTGAAATTACAAAAAAACTGATACTGATATAGGTTTATTCAAAATTGATTATAATGAAAGTCAACTGATAAGTATTCTTTACAACTAATGATAATTGACATGCTTAAAAATTATATGTATACTGCAGTACAAACACGTAAATTATGATTGATGACAGAAATTCCTGGCTTATTAGTCATTGAAAAATAGGATCGTTGATTAGAAACAAACAAATTTACAGTAATTTACTTATGTTTTTTTTTAAAATAAAGACTAAAGGTCAATGAATGATGAAGTACAGAATTATTTTACTTCTTAAATTTTTCATGAAGAATCAGGCATTGTCTCACTACAAGCTTAAGTATACAAGATTGTTTAATAAAAATGATATTTAGTTATCCATCTGTAATGATTATCACTGATTAGACCAAACCTTACAGATGTAGATGGAGTCACATACAGATAATCAGACAGAAATTACACAACCAACATTTGTATCCTCAAGAGGTAAATTCATTAAAATGCGAAAAGATTGCTTTATTTGATAAGGTAATCTAGTCAAAACTTTGTGTGACATATTGCTTTATTTTTAGAACTTATCTTTTATTTATGTTGATTGGTAATGACTAGACATGTCATGTGGTCAGCAATGAATTGTATGACAGTCCTCTATTGACTGTAGTAATTGATTGAATTAGATATAAACTGACCATTAAGCCAGTTTTACCGGAGTCCCAATGTATTGAATAGTTGATAACCATCTGCATTGATAAGAGGACACAACTAGTGGTCATCTGGCCATATCATAGTAGTAAACAGCAATCTACATCTGATCAAGTGTCAGTCTGGTCACTGACCGCTGCCATCACCTAAACACAAAATGGCTGATCAATATCTCTTAAAGGGACTTACAACTACAATCATTTGGCAAACCTATCAAATTCTAAGCTACTAATGACAGGAGTACAGTAGTTTGAAATTTACCTAATAATGCCACAAAAACCATAGACATATGTATACAAGTCTAAATATTCATATTTTTTCTAGAAAAAAAACTCTGAAGGAATCAAACCAGATCAAAAGGAATTCACTGCAATAATTGCCTTTTACAGTAATGTAATGTCAGTTGTGGATGACAACAACCAAATGAACTTTTCTTACTGGTGTGCCCTGAACTGCATGGATGATTGAGAGATATGAACAAATCATGACACTTGATTGACTACCCATTTCTAGATATTCAGTTTTCTTCACCAGCAATTGCCATTTCAATCTTTTGGCTATTAATGTAAAATCAAATCAACTCTGTGTCTCCCCCAAAAAAACCCAGGAGAACAAGGTGGATGCCATAAACCTTATAAAAGGATTTCTTTTTAGTTCCTTTAGAGTGATTTTGGCAGTTCAGATATATTTGAATCTCTGATACATGCTTACTTGCGGACTTGTGCACAATTGAGAATAAAAAAAATATCTGCAAGTGATGGGAATTTTTTGAGTGATGTTATGTCTGAACTCAACTGAAAAAAACACCAGATCTATTGAAAATTATTGGAAAACAAAACGAAAATACATGCTATATAAATATAATGTCTCCCAATGTAAAAAGTATTTTCACTCCCTACTCCTTTAATTTTATATAAATGTATATGTCTTGATTAAATTGGAGTGAATTTGATAAGTAGGATGATGTAGAAAGTATAATCAGAATATCTATATAAAAGAGTTACATGGCAGATATAAAACCTAGATGAATTATTCCATAAAAGTTGCCTCTGCACTTACTAGTAGTATTCCTGATCTATTTGCTATCTCCTGGAGCTAATAACATGGCAGCATTTCTTTCTTACTGATTCTAATTGAATGAAATCTGGCTTGCATGTCACATAAATACTGATCTTAATGTAAACCGATCGGTATCCTGAAGACAGAACAATCTACATTGATTTTCTTTTTTATCATTTTACCTGACCTAAAAGATTTTTTATTTCAGAAGGTCAACTTCATATTAAATAAATTGATAAAAAGCAAAAATCTATGAGACATTATCTATAAGATAAGGTGAAAATCGATATTCAGATTTCTCAACCAAGAAAATTGAAGTCTTGGAGACAAATGGCATGAAGTCTTGATGGTCTTGTATTAACACTGAACATCCATTATGGTATGCTTTCAGGTTATGACCTAGTCCATTAACCCTGTATGTACTGAGATGTAATGATGATCCATCGATCGCAAAGAAATCACTCAATTTAATGAAAAGTCATATTTCATGCTCTTACATTGCCTAAATATCCGTATTAATGAGATCGTCGCAAGGGGCTTTTGTCTGTTTATACCGTTGCTAAGGTTACCAGAAATATTCCTGACAGTGAAGGTATTGCTGGTCCAGTATCTGTTCATCTCGTTTCCAAGTGACAGGATCACAGCTCGTTTTATTGAACCTTACTTTGCTGAACTTGAAGTGCACAGGAGTTGCAGAACACTGGACATTGTACATGATACCTGTATGCCAGACCGTGAGGAAAACAGGTACTTTGTTTGTGTTGGGAATACTGTGTGTTTACCTTGTATGTGTGGTGGATAAAGTTTCCAATGTGACTGTATTACTGTGTATTAATTTACTATCATTTACAGTACAGAACTTTGATAATGCACTTTAGGTAATAATCACTTTAAAAATGGCGACTCAAGGTTTATATGTCAAAAAAGTTATGGATTTATATGTTACCTTATCTGGTATTTAAAAAAAATCTGAGTGTCTGCCTTAGAAGAAAAAATTAATTTAAAGCTTCAGTCTGAGAAATTAATATTGTGTATGACCTATAAATAATGAAGTAGAAAAATCTAAAAGAAAATTAAAACGATTTAAGATAGATATGTATTTTTGAGTAATGTAGAATTGATCTTAAGCTTATCACTATTCAAAAGTGTGTACAGGTTTAAGAGTCACATGTACTTGAAATTTAATATGATAGTTTAATAATTTTCTTTTATTAAACTGGACTTCTAGCTATAAAGAATGTGATTTGGCAAAAGTTTTGCCTGTTTTTCTGAAGGAATATTTTTTCTTGATTTGACACCATATCTCTGAAAAGATGTCAAATAACCCTGTTTTACTGGGATTAACATTCTAATGAGTTTTGTGATGTTTCTGTGGGTAGTGAGTAGTTGTTGATTGTTATGGAGACATATCTTGACTCACACAGGTTGAGGGTAGACTTCTTTTATAGCTATTTGATGCCTGCACGTACACACAGTTTGATAGTAGACTTCTCTCATAGCTGAATTGATTCCTGCAAACACACACAGGTTGAGGGTAGACTTCTTTTATAGCTAAATTGATGCCTGTTTGTACATACAGGTTGAGGGTAGACTTCTTTTATAGTTAATTGATGCCTGCACGTACACACAGGTTGATAGTAGACTTCTCTCATAGCTGAATTGATTCCTGCAAACACACACAGGTTGAGGGTAGACTTCTTTTATAGCTAAATTGATGCCTGTTTGTACATACAGGTTGAGGGTAGACTTCTTTTATAGCTAATTGATTCCTGCAAACACACACAGGTTGATAGTAGACTTCTCTCATAGCTGAATTGATGCCTGTTTGTACATACAGGTTGAGGGTAGACTTCTTTTATAGCTAATTGATTCCTGCAAACACACACAGGTTGATAGTAGACTTCTCTCATAGCTGAATTGATGCCTGTTTGTACATACAGGTTGAGGGTAGACTTCTTTTATAGCTAATTGATTCCTGCAAACACACACAGGTTGATAGTAGACTTCTCTCATAGGTTTGGTTTTGCTCTTAATTTTACTTGGAGTTAAAATGTATATGAACTCAAATCAGCTGGAGTAAAAACAGAATCTCTTCTTGATATTTTTATTTCTTTCTGTTTGTTTTGTTTTTGATTTTTATCGCCATCAAACAGTTAGAAGAATTTTATCAAGATAACATTTGATACAATTACATGTTTTGAATTGTTAAATCAAATGTAAAAACCACATACATTGTAAACAATGTGAATTTTATATCTATAACAAGGACAGCTTTGCTCTCACCAATTGGAACACTATCTATAGGTGAGACATTTATCATGATTTCGAGACTTGACACTTAGACATTGATGGAAAACAGGGCATGATGATTGAGCACATTCTTCATTTAAACTAAACAGGTCATAGGTCAGACTGACAGAAAAAGGCAAAACCTTAAGAATAGGAACATCTGTTATATATTTTACACTCTAAGAAATAGTTATATTACTATAGTGTTCAGTACTTATATATCATTGTAAATATATAACAAGATTTTTTTCATACACAGAACTTTTACTTTAAAAAAAATGTTTTTACAAAAGTCTGATGTTGAATTGTTTCCCTTACTTTTTAGAAACTTGTATTTATCATATTTAATGTACATGTATATGTATGTATTGAGGTCAGTGGAAGTATGGTCTTGCAGTCACAGTGTTTTTCCTCACAAATAATACTGTCTATATTGTTCTTTGTAAAACAGATACCACAAAATAAAAACGTTCCTTGTTCTTTTTCTGATTTTGTAAAGCACTATAACTTATAATTGGGAATTTGGGACACATGTTTTTTCCTGTAACTTGCCTCATTTGACATCAGACTAGCTACACAGTTATACAGCTGTAACACTAATATCAATGACATCTTTGTTAAAGGGAGCTCGAAGTCTCATTTTGTGATCGAGTTGA